TTTTTCATGTCTCTATCTCCTTCAGTTCAGCTCTGATTTTTGTTATTTCTTGTCTTCTGCTGGTTTTGGGATTTGTTTGCTCTTGCTTCTCTAGTTCTTTTAGTAGTGATGTTAGGTTATTAACTTGAGATCTTTCTAACTTTTTGATGTGCGCATTTAGTGCTGTAAATTTCCTTTTTAACACTGCCTTCGCTGTGTCCCAGAGATTCTGGTACTTTGTATTTTGTTCTCATTAGTTTCACAGAACTTCTTGATTTCTGCCTAAATTTCATTATTTACCCAAAAGTCATTCAGGAGCAGGTTATTCAGTTTCCATGTAATTGCATGGTTTTTAGTGAATTTCTTAGTCTTGATTTCAAATTTGATTCTTCTGTGGCCCAAGAGACTGTTTGTCATGATTTCAGTTCTTTTGCATTTTTTGAGGAGTGTTTTACTTCTGATTATGTGGTCGATTTTAGAGTAAGTGCCATGTGGTGATCAGAAGAATGTATATTCTGTTGTTTTGGGGTGGAGAGTTCTGTAGATATCCACCAGGTCCATTTGATCCAGTGCTGAGTTCAGGTCCTGAATATCTTTGTTAATTGTCTCTCTCAATGAGCTGTCTAATATTGTCAGTGGGGTGTTAAAAAGTCTCCCACTATCATTGCGTGGCAGTCTAAGTCTGTGTGAAGGCCTCTAAGAACTTGCTTTATAAATCTGGGTGCTCCTGTGTTGGGTCCATATGTATTTAGGATAGTTAGATTTTCTTGTTGAATTGAACCGTTTACCATTATGTAATGCCCTTCTTTGTGTGTGTGTGTGTGTGTGTGTGTGTGTGTGTGTGTGTGTGTTTTAATCTTTGTTGATTTAAAGTCTGTTTTGTCAGTAACTAGGATTGCAACTGCTGCTTTTTTATGTTTTCCATTTGCTTGGTAGATTTTCCTCCATCTTTTTATTTTGAGCCTATGTGTGTCATTGCATGTGCGATGGTTCTCTTGAAGACAGCATACCATTGGATCTCAGTTCCTTATCCAGCTTGCTACTCTGTGTCTTTTAATTGGGGCATTTAGCCCATTTACATTTAAGGTTACTGTTGGTATGTTTGGATTTGATCCTTTCATCATGATGCTAGCTGGTTATTTTGCAGACTTGCTTACATGTTTGCTCTATAGTGTCACTGGTCTGAGTGCTTCAGTGTGTTTTTGGAGTGGCTGGTAACCATCTTTCCTTTCCACATTTAGTGCTTCCTTCAGGAGCTCTTGTAGGGCAGGTCTGGTGGTAACAAATTCCCTCGACATTTGCTTGTCTGAAAATGATCTTATTTCTTCTTCACTTATGAAGCTTACTTTGGCCTGATATGAAATTCTGGGTTGGAGTTTCTTTAAGAATGTTGAATATTGACCCCCAGTCTCTTCTGGCTTGTAGGTTTTCCACTGAGACATCCGCTGTTAGTCTGAAGGGCTTCCCTTTGTAGGTGACCTGGCCTTTCTCTCTAGCTGCCTTTAACATTTTTTCTTTCATTTCAACCTTGGAGAATCTGATGATTATCTGTCTTGGGGATGTTCCTCTCGTGGAGTATCTTCCTGGAGTTCTCTGGATTTCCTGAATTTGAATGTTGGCCTCTCTAGCTAGGTTAGGGAATTTCTCGTAGATGATATCCTGAAATACGTTTTCCAAATTGGTTCCATTTCCCCCATCTCTTTCAGGGGCACCAATCAGTCTTAGATTTGCTCTCTTTACATGAGCCCATATTTCTCGGAGGTTTTGTTCATTGCTTTTCATTCTTTTTTCTCTATTCTTGTCTGCCAGTCTTATTTCAGAAAGCCAGTCTTCAAGCTCTGAAATTCTTTCCTCTGCTTTGTCTATTCTGCTATTAGTACTTGTGATTGCATTATCAAATTCTTGTAGTGTGTTTTTTCAGTTCCATCAGGTTGGTTACATTCTTCTCTATATGGGCTATTTTGTCTGTCGGCTCCTGCAGTGTTTTATCATGACTTTTAGCTTGCTTGCAATGGGTTACAATGTACTCTTTTAACTCAGTGAAGTTCATTCCTATCCATATTGTGAATTGTACTTATGTCATTTCAGCCATCTCAGCCTCAGCCCAATTCCAAACCCTTGCTAGAGAGGTGATGAAGTCATTTGGAGGAAACAGGGCACTCTGGCTTCTTGAGTTTTCAGCGTTCTTGCACTGATTCTTTCTCATCTTTGTGGGCTTATCTACCTTCAATCTTTGAGGTTGCTGACCTTTTGATTTTTTTTTTTTTTCTTTTAACAGTCTGGCCATGTTTCTGTAGGGCTGCTGTAGTTTGCTGGGCTTCTTCCCCAGTTCCTAGTTGCCTTGGATTTTCCAGTACCTGGAGCTATCACCAGTGAAGGCTGTGAAACAGCAAAGATGTCAGCCTGCCTCTTCCTCTGGGAGCTCCGACCCAGGGAGGTACAGACCTGTTGCCAGCCCAAACGCACCTGTAGGATGAGGCTGGAGACCCTGGTTGGGAGGTCTCACCCAATCAGGAGGAATGGGATCAGGGAACTGCTTAAAGAAGCAGTCTGGCCATGCTTTCGCAGATCAGCTGTGCTGTGCTGGGGCACTGCTTCCACCCCTGGTTGGTGTGGGCTCTCCAAAGCCTGGAGGCTGGAACAGCTAAGTCGCCCAAACAGCAAAGACGGGGGCCCCTCCCTCCCTCCCTCCCTCCCTCCCAGAGCTCTGTCGCAGGGAGAATTCAAATCTCTGTCAGCCAGAGAACACCAGTAGGGGTTGCTGGAGGCCTTGGTTGAAAAGTCCCACCCAGTGAGGAGGAACAGATTGGGCACCTGCTTAAAGAAGCAGTCTGGCCATGCTTCTGAAGAGCAGCTGTGCTGTGCTGTTCTGGGGTACCACTTCTGTGAGCTCTGTCCCAGAGAGCAGCCTGCCCCTCCCCCTGGGACCTCTGTCCCAGGTAGGTGCAACACTGCTGCTGGTGGCTGGCTGGAACTCCAAACCAGTGGGTCTTATCCTGTGAGGTGCAGTGGAAGTGGGGCCCGCAGATTGTTGCTGCTTGGCCCCCTGGATTCAGCCTCTTTCCTAGGGGTATGTACAGGGGTCTAATCTCCCGCTTTGCAGGAGTTGCAGTTACTTTTGCTGGGAAACCCAGAGCTGGAGTATGTAAAGCTCCTGGGTCTCTGCACGTGCTGAAGCGGCTGCTCTGCTGAGACTCCAGGTATCTCTGTCTGTCAGACTGAAGGCCCTGGTGGAGTGGGTTCACGAGGGGATCTCCTGACCCAACGGTTGCAAGGATCCATGGGAGGAGCGTGGTTTCCCAGGATCGTACATTCACTCACTACTTCCCTGGGTGGGGGAGGTTCCTCTGTCTCCATGTTGCTCCTGGGTGGGCTGTCATCCTGCCTTGCTTTTCTTCATTCTCTGTGGATCGAGTTGTTTCCTTGATTAGACCCAATGCAGGTACCTGGATGTTTCAGTTGAAGGTGCTGTATTTACTTGCCCCTTTCCTTCCTCTCCGTGAGAACCACTCACCCTGGCTGCTTCTAGTCAGCCATCTTGGCCACTCCCTCCCCACCCCCCCTCCTTTTTTTAAAAAAATGCTTGAAAACTGTTTGCAAAAGAAACCTAGAGATTCTCATGGTTCTTTTAAGATCTTGTTGGATGGACTGTGAAAGTGGGATTATTGTCTATGAATGGTCAGCTAGACTGTGTGTGTTTGGAAAGGGTGAGGGAATTAACATTTATTGAGCAAAAGGGCATGCTAGTTAAAATCATTGTTGTCTCTGGGGACAGATTTTTCTGGGTTTTAATCCAAACTCTGACATGTATTAGTTGTGTGACCTCTATTTTTCATTTGTAAAATGGAGATGGGATTGTCGCAGGGATTAAAAGCACTTAGAACAGTCCAGGATATACAAAGCACTGTGTAGGAGTTGGCTGTCATTATTAGTCATCAGTCATCTTACTTAATAATCACAAAATTGTTAGAAAATCCTGTGAAGGGCCGGGCGCGGTGGCTCAAGCCTGTAATCCCAGCACTTTGGGAGGCCGAGGCGGGCGGATCACAAGGTCAGGAGATCGAGACCACAGTGAAACCCCGTCTCTACTAAAAATACAAAAAAAAAATTAGCCGGGCGCGGTGGCGGGCGCCTGTAGTCCCAGCTACTCAGGAGGCTGAGGCAGGAGAATGGCGGGAACCCGGGAGGCGGAGCTTGCAGTGAGCCGAGATCGCGCCACTGCACTCCAGCCTGGGCAACAGCGTGAGACTCCGTCTCAAAAAAAAAAAAAGAATAAAATACGAAAATCCTGTGAGGTAGATATTTTCCTTACCATACCCATATGAGAACACTTAAGCAATGAGAAGTCAAACAAAGTTACCAAAGTCGCACAATTACAGAGTGACAGAGCCTTTAGATGCTGCCTAGTCCAAGGCTTTCATTTCGCAGAAGAGAAAATTGAAGTTCAAAATAGGAGAGGTACATGCCTCAAGTCATTTAGTGAGCCAGTGCCAGAACTGGGCCTAGAACTCAGCAGCAGGACTCTTCCTGTCAGTAGTTCTCAAACTTTGTCATGTGTTAGAATCCTGCAGAGGACTTGCTAAAACAAACTGCTGGTACCCCTGCCCAGAGTTTCTTACTTAGTAGGCATGGGGTGGGCCTTGAAAATGTGCATTTCTAAGAAGTTCTCAAATGATGCTGCTGCTGGTGGTCTGGGGACCCTACTTTGGGAATCACCACAACACACCATAATTCGTACATCTTTTGTTCTTTTCATCATGGACTACACAGTCTGTGACCTACAAACACTTTCAAAGAAATGGGAACCAGTGATGAAAACCAAAGAAAACTACATAGCTAGCAGCAAGAAGGTACGGTGACTGACCAACAGTCCTGGTTCGTGTGGGACTCTCCTAGTTTTAAAATGGAAAATCCTGTAGTTCTGGGCACAAGAGGATGGTTGGTCACTCTAGATGAAAGTGAACAAAAGTCAGTGTCAGCTAAATGCCAAACAAAAAAGGACATACATACAGAGAATGTGGTAACTTCTGGTGAATTTGTTTGAAAAGGACTCATTCATTTATTCTTTCAATACATCTGTATTATAATACTACTGTCCATAAGGCACTGTGTTAGGTGCTGTGTTCCTGACCCTACAGATCCCATTCCACCATAGCAAAAGGTAAAAGTGACTCTACAGTGAGCTTGGTAGACATAGACCCATGCTTATATACTCAGGGACACCTGGAAGAGCTGTAAAAAAAAGAAACATCTCACATAGGAAGTTTTCAATGCATCAGGATCAGGACTCAAATAATTCCCTTCTCTTTTTCTTCAGTGTACCAAAGGGAGTACATTGTTGAGAAGGATTGGTTGCAAATTTCCAAAAAGGAGGGTAAAATAATTAACGAGTCAAGGTGTCAGGAGAGACAGAAGGTAAGGGGAGTCCTTCAGTAAGTGGGGAAATTGATTTGTTTTGTGTCCTCATCTCTCCAGGGCCATGATCATGTCCTTTGCTGGCCGTAAACCAATGCTGACCTCAGTTATAGTGTAATCTTCAAGGCTAATTTACGCAAAACTTCAAAAATGGTAAACATCCTCATGAAGACTAATGATGACATATTTTAGGAGTGCATAATAGTAGGTATAGAGGAAAAACTTCAGGGTAAAATGTTATTGCTGTTCTTCTTGCTAAAGGGCATACTCCTTAAGAACCAAAGTTAATTATCAGTCCTTTGACCTATGAGGAAAACAAATTTCATGGACTCCCCTAAAGATTCCTATATAGTACAAATAAAATGCCAAAATATTTTGGGAACACATTTTGGAGCACTGGATGTATCAATAAAATAATGTGTAAATTGCCAAATGTGATCTAGGAACTCCCTGCAAACATCAGATTAGGCTCTATTCTCTATCTGAATACTGACTTTGCTTTGCTTTGTAACTCCTGTCTTCACTAATAATGCCTTTTCCCCCCTCTTGTGTGCATCCTAGCCTATATTCTCTTTCATCATTCTACAGTGGTCAATGTGGTTATTGTACAGCTTCACTTTCAATGAAAGCTGAGGGAAAAGAAGCTTCATAACCTGCCCTCCCCCCATACATAAAAGAAGCTATTTAAAAAATAAAAGCAGCAAGCTACTAAATTTGACTCATTCAAATCTTGGTAATTAACATGTATAGTATTTTATGAGAGAGACAGAGAGAGAAAGAAAAAAATTAGCAGAAATGGAGGAAAACATATTACATCCTAAATACCACCAAATTGCCAAAATACACATTTGGGTAGTAATCTCCAGAGAACTCTCTGGAGGCACGGCATCTATCATGCTGATTTCCCTGAATAATATTACAGGATAGCCCTGTGTACTTCTCTTGGTGGTGGTGGTGGTGGTGTGTGTGTGTGTGTGTAAAGAATTATCATATGGAACCTCACAAGTCTCTAAAACCTTTCTGCAATTATCCCTCATAGGATTACCACACTGATGAGTTTGTTCAACAGGAGCTGTTGTGACTTCCTAATTTAACTCCTATAGAGATGATTTGTATCGAAGATAAAACACTATATTTGAACTCAATTCCCACCTTATCCCTGAGCTTATGCTACCAGCAATTCTTATAATGTTTGGAGTTCTATTAGGCTATAGAGAAAAATCTAGGGTTTCAGCTAAACCCTTTAATCCCCAGGCCTATGTAAAGGACTGTCTCAAGGTAGTCGCTAGCCCATGGGTTCTCAAAATATGGTCTGAAGACCCCTGGAGGAGTCCCTGAGGCCTTTTTAGTGGGTCTGCAGATTAAAAATTATTTTGTATAATAACACCAAGATGAGTTACATTCAATTAAGCATTTTTCTTTTGAAATTAAGCAGACTTTTGGAAACCCAGATGTGCATAGCCCTGTAGTAGGCTAAGTGGAAGTTACAAAGACAATAGTAGCTTTTTCTCCCCCTCTCATTATCTCGTGAGGAGACAGAGGACTTTTCCAGAGGCTACATGACATATGGTTATGTCATCTCTCTGATAGCTGAGGGATGTGTGCTTCTGCGTTCTTGAGTTTTAAATATTTCCCAGTCTTAATACCTAAAACAATTAGTATCAATAGATAGAACCCACACCCAAGAACTCCTTGGGGCCTTCAATAACTTTTAAGAGTGTTAAGGTGTCCTAAGACCAAAAATTTTGCAAATTGTTGCTTTATCAGGATTTTTGTTATTTCTAGAATGCATTTCTTTCTAACTGATCTACTTGGGGGAAAAAAAATCACTACCTCATGGCAATTATTGCTTTCCTATCAATATGGAGATTATATTTCTGAAGGAGATTGACCAAAATTATATTAAAAGGTTTAAATAAAACAAGTGGATCCATGTTATAACATGAGGAAGAGAGCTGCCCCACTAGAAGTCTGACATTAGATAGCTCAGAGTCCCCCCTCTCTAACAAGTCTCCCCTGCTAGAGAAAGGGACAGCTTCTGTTTTGTGGGATGGGATAAGGAGACAATCTGAAGTAGAGTTTGACACAATATTAAATATTATTCTGCGCATATGAAATTCTGGTAGCCGGGGTGCCAGGTGTATTCATAATCCCAATGCTGTCAATTTTAAGCCTGAAGCCCCAAGAGGCGAGCAGTGTTTAATACGTCATCCCTTGTTAAATAGCAGCCACAGAGTTGGCGGTAGCCAGTGAAGCATTCCCTGCCATGTAGGACACGCCAGTTGTCTATAAATAGGACCTGTGAATGGGCAAAAAAAAAAAAAAAAAAAAAGAGAAAACACTATCAGAAGAAGGACAGACCAAAGGAACCCTAAGTCAGAAGAGATCATTTAAAAGACAAGCTTTAGGTTGTTCTCTGGTTACATTAAATGAGGTATTTTTCTTTTGAAATTAAACAAACGTTTGGAAACTAAGATGTGTATAGCCCTGTAGTAGGCTAAATGGAAGTTACAGAGGCAACAGTAGGTAATAGGCCCTGCAGTGGAAGAGCTTCTGTTTCTCAAGTAATTGTTCTCTTATCAAAGCAAATCAGATAATTGGTTTCTTTCTTTTTCTTTAATTCTTATTCTACCCTTTCTCAAAGGGTTAAATTATCTCATGACATTTTTTGCTAAGCTGAAGGTATTTTTCATCCAGAGGAAATACCAAAATAAAAACTATGGAATCATGAAGCTGGAAGGACCCTTGGGGGTCATCCAGTTAAACCCCCTCACCATACAAATAGAGTTACTGATGCCTTAGAGATGGGATGAGGCTTGCTTCCAGGGCATTCAGTGAGTGAGCCGCAGGACCATGACCAACACCAAGGACTCTTTTCTCTTTTTCCTTTGCAACATTGTGACTCACATATTAAGTAAGTACCCGTTCTTCACTGCTTCATTATCACAAGCTTGCTTGACATCTTTAGAGATTAGGACCCACCCTGCCAGGCTTTAGTTTAACCCAAAACTCATTCTCAGGTCTCCTCAACTCTATCGTTAGAGTCCGGTGTGCTGTATACCAGCGATGGACGACATCATAAGGAACGGTATTGATGACAGCCCGGTCATAGTTGTTGTACCTAACATGGAATCATGAGAAGAAAGATCTCAAACACATGTTAAAGACATCTTTTGTTTATTGAACAATTTTATATAAGGCTTCCCCTATGTTCAATACTTGTCCCAGAGACGAAGTGACAATAAGTCAATATTCTCTCAGGAATATCACATTGGAGTGAGGAGTTCCACTGCCTGTTGACCGTATTTTGTTTTTCTTTGAATAATCGAAGGATACGGGATAGAAGTTAAGTTCCAACTGGTTTCTCTCATCTTATGATATGATATTTTAAGTCTTTACTGGCCAAAGTTCATGGAAGCACTGGGGAAAGCTCTGAGCTTTCTCCTCACCAAACTGAGGTGGGGTGGACAAGAGAGGTTATACTAACAAAGCTTTCCTTTTAACAGGATGACTTACAACTTCTCAGGTGTCTCCCTTTGTGGGAGGAATCCCAGCTATAGCCTAGTGGACCATTCACCCAGGGATCTTCAATCATTCATTCAACCCTAACATTTATAGGCGCACCGGCTACATGTGGAGGAGGTAGCCAGGGGCTAGATCATGTATATATTGCCATGCAGGCCATGGTAAGGACTTTGGATTTTATTCTGAGTACCATGGGAAGCCACTGAAAAACCTTGCCTAAGATAATGGGTTTCTGTTTTGCCTAAGGCAAATTAACTTTTTACTGAAGTATACTATACATTACGGGAAAGTACACAAATCGTAAGCTTGATGAATTTTCATGATGTAATCGCATCCATATCACTAGCACCCAGGTCAATAAACAGATCATTACCAGAACCCCAGAACCCTTCCTCATGCTCCTTTCCAGTAACGCCACTCCCCCAACCCAAGGGTAACTACCATCCTGACTTCTATCACCAAAGATTAGTTTTGCCTGTTTATATAAAACTTTATATAAATGCAATCACAATATGTATTCATTTGTGTCTGGCTGCTTTTTCATTTAATATTATGTTTAGGAGTTTCATCATTGTTTAGCAATAGTTTATTGGTGCTATACAGAAGTTGATTGCGTGATCACACCACAATTTATTTATCCATTCTACCGTTGATGGACATATGAGTAATTTCCAGTTTGGAACTACTACAAACAGTGCTGTTATGAACATTCTATTACATGTCTTTGGTGAACAAATATATTCACTCCTGTTTGAAATAAACTTAAGAATGGAACTTATGGATCATAAGGTATGTGTGTGCTCAGATTTACTAGATACTGCCAAATATATTCTTTCCAAAGATAAATTAACATCCAATGGTGTCATTTTTGGACATCTCAGGCAATATTCCTTAGTGTTATATAGTACATGGCACAATCAGAGCCAATATTCTTAGTTTTGTTGCATATAAAATGAGCATAATAACATCTGCCTAGCTGATCTCACAGGGCTACTGCAAGAATCAAATGAAAAAATAGGCCAGGTGTGATGGCTCACGCCTGTAATCCCAGTACTTTGGGAGGCCGAAGTGGGCAGATCACCTGAGGTCAGGAGTTCAAGACCAGCCTGGCCAACATGGCGAAACCCCATCGCTACTAAAAATACCAAAAAAAAAACAAAAAACAACAACAACAACAACAACAACAACAAAATATTAGCCAGGCGCGGTGGCACACGCCTGTAGTCTGTAGTCCCAGCTACTTGGGAGACTGAGGCAGGAGAATCACTTGAACCCGGGCGGCAGAGGCTGCAGTGAGCCAAGATTGTGCCACTGCACTCCAGCCTGGGCAACAGAACGAGACTCTGTCTCAAAGGAAAAAAAAAAAAAAGAAAGAAAGAAAAAGAAAAAGAATATAATAGTCCATCCTCCCAGGCTTCAAGGAGCCATGCCTGGAGGGAGAATGAAGTGAGGACGCACAGTCTTCACCACCCATTGTCATTTCCAGAAACTTCTAGTGCTGGGTTAGGCATTTGCAAAAATATTTTTAAATTTACTTATTTCATCATCCCAGAAGGAAAAGTGTTATTAACCACCTTTTACATTTAAGGCAACTGAAACTTAGACACCTGCCACAAAGTTTATAAGTAGCAGAGAGGTTTTGAAATCTGGTCTCCTTAATTCTTTAACTCATTATTTATGCCAGAGAACAGAAAAATGATCGTAATTCCTGTGTACGCTTGTTCATGAGAGCAACATTTTTACAGATAACACTTGTAATCTTTTGACTTCAAATTGAGATTTACAGTTTAGAAATGTTTCCATATACAGTATCTCATTGACCCTCTGTATGATAACCCCGTGTGGTAAGTAGTACAGCTGTTATTATCTTACTTTATAGATAAGGAAAATAATGATAAGGCCCTGTGATTTGTCCAAGTTTACATGGAATTTGTTATTCACTGTTTATATTAGATGGCGGTGTTTTCTAAAGCCAACAGAGAAAGTATCAGGAAAAGTCTATTACACATAAGCAAAATGGTTGTGCAATATTCTCTGGATTAGAATAAGACTATTTCTGGACTTTGGCACAAAGTGATGCCATCATATTATTGTGCAGTTTTTCCTTTCTTTCCTGCTTTGATATGAAGCAAGAGAGACCTGGGAGCAGGGGCAAGCAAATAAAGCAGGCATTTATCTGACAAGAAAAGCTAGGAAGATTTAACAAGGTTATCCTTCTTCTTAGCTGACAGACAAGTATTTCCCAAGACAGCTCCATAATTGAGTGGACAATGCATTTGATGGATTTGTGTATTGTGGTGTAAGTGACAGCTGATGGGCTTTCAGATAGGTAGATAAATGGGCTTTCAGATAGATCACCATTACAATCTCAGTTCAGACGTGTGATCTTGGAGGAGCTATAGAAATTATAAAAATGCTGGAAGAAAACCTCGGGATGAGTCTCCAGGATAATGCTCTGGGAAAAGATTTTATTGCTAAGACCCCAAAAGCACAGGAAACAAAACCCAAAAATAGATAATGAGACTAGATTAAACTAAAGAGTTTCTGTGAGGCAAGGGAAACACTCAACAGAGTGAAGAAACAACCCACAGTATGGGAATATGGCCATTGTAGAATGGCTGTTATTACAAAGACCAAAAATAACAGATGTTGGCAAGTATGTGGAGAGAAAAGAACTCTTATACATTCAATAAACAGTGCTGGGAAAACTGGATGTCCGCATGCAGAAGAATGAAATTAGACCCTTTTATTACAACATATACAAAAATCAACTAAAACTGGATTAAACACTTACATGTAAGACCTGACACCATAAATCTACTAGAAGAAACATATGGTATAACTCTATGATATTCGTCTATACAATTACTTTTTGGATATGATCCAAAAGTATAAGCAACGGAAGAAAAAATAGGTAAATGAAATTACATCAAACTGAAAAGCTTCTGGCACAGCAAAGGAAACAAAAGAATGAAGAGACAACCTGCAGAATGGGAGAAAGTATTTGCAAACTATACGTCTGATAAGGGGTTAATATCTAAATATTTGAGGAACTCAAACAACTCAATAGTAAGAAAACAAATAACGTGATTTAAAAATGGGAAAGGATCTGGATCGACATTTCTCAAAGAAGACATACAAATGGCCAACAGGTATATGAAAAAGTGCTCAACATCACTAATAATCAGATAAATTCAAATTAAAACCACCACGAGATATCACCTCATACTCCTTAGGATGGCTATTATTAAAAGGACAAAGATAACAATGTTGATGAGGATGTGGAGATAAGTGAACCCTTGCACACTGTTGGTGGGAATGTGAATTAGTACAGCCATTATGGAAAACAATATGGAGGTTTCTAAAAAAAAAAACTAAAAGCAGAACTACTACATCATCCGGCAATCTCACCACTGGGTGTATACCCAAAGGAAATGAACTCAGTATGTCTGAGAGATATCTTCCACGTTCTTTGCAGAAATATTCACAGTAGCCAAGATATAAAATCAATCTAGGCAGAATACATGGGAGAGTATATACAGAAAATGTGGTATGTATAAAAAGTGGAATACTATTCATCCTTGAAAAGAAGAAAGTCCTGTCATTTGTGACAACATGGATGAACCTGGAGAACATTAAGTGAAAATAAGCCAGGCACAGAAATATCAGTACTGCATGATCTCACTCATATGTGTAATGAAAAAAAAAGTTGATATCATAGAAATAGAGAGCAGAATGGTGGGTACCAGAGGCTGGTGGGTTGTGGAGTAGTGGTTGGGGATATGCTGCTCAAAGGATACATAATTTTAGATCAGAGGAATAAGTTCAAGTGATCTATTTTTCAACATGGTGACTATAGTTAATAACAGTGTATTGTAATTTGAAAATTTCTAAGAAACAATCAATCAATGGAGTGAAGAGGTAACTCGCAGAATGTGAGAAAATGTTTGCAAACTATGCATCTACAAGAGATTAATGCCCAGAATATATAAGGAGCTCAAACTCAATAACCAAAAAAGACATAATCCCTTAAAAATGGACAAAAGTTCTGAATAGACATTTCTCAAAAGAAGGCAGACAAATGGCAAATGGGTATATTTTTAAACGCTCCGTATCACTAATCGTTAGGGAAATGCAAATCAAAACCACAATATCACCTCACCCCAGTTACAAAGGCTATCATTAAAAAGACAAAAATAGGCTGAAAGTCAGGATGGCTAATATGTACAAACACAGAGAGAATGAATAAGATCTAGTATTTGGCAGCACAATAGGGCAACTATAGTTAACAATAACTTATTGTATATTTAAAAATAACTAAGAGAGTAGAATTGGAGTGTTCCCAACACAAAGAAATAATAAAGGCTTGAAATGATAGATACCCCAATTATCCTGATTTGATCATTACATATTGTATGCCTGTATCAAAACATCACATGCACTCCATAAATATATGCAACTATTATTTACCCATAATAATTAAAAATTTTTAAATTAAAATTCAATAAAATAAAATATAATAAAGTGATCTTAAAATAAATTTGCCCGTGGTTAGATATTACTTATTTGTTACACTTTAATTGATGATTTCTATTA